TCATCAGCCTCTTCTCCAAACTAAACATACCCAGCTCCCTCAGTCATTTCTCATAAAGCTTGGTTTCCAGACCTTTGATCCTCTTGGCCACCTTTCTCCGGACATGTCTCAGCTTGTCGGTATCCTTCTTGACATGTAGTAGCCAGAACTGGACACAGTATTCCAGGTGAGTTCTGACCAAAGCAGAATAAAGTGGCAATACTACTTTCTTCAGTCTGGACACTACGATCCTGTTGATGCAGCCAAGAATCACACTGACTTTTTGGGCCACACTGTCAACTCATGTTCAGCTCAGAGAATGTCATAAGACCCTGCTATTCCCTCTGCTAACAAAGTAGTAATATGTTCTTGTTTACATAGAAAAAAACTTCTCTTTAAAGGTGTTCACTATCTGAAGGGATGTCCAGACCAAGGCTGCATCTATACTGCAGAATGAATGACATGGCTCAATGCTATAAAATTCTAAGATTTGTAATTGTGTGAGATATTTAGCCTTCTCTGTCAGAGTGCTCTGGTGCCACAACAAACTACAAATCCCAAGATTCAGTAGCATGGAGCCATGGCAGTTAAAGCAGTGTCAAACTGCATTATTTCAACAGTGTGGCAGCAGCCCAAGTCAAAGACAGCCGCAAGATGGGACAGCAACAAAGGTCTTGAAATTGCCCATCTTGAGTTGGCTCTTGCATGGCAAAACTGAACAACCAAGATGAAAACCACTGGAATTTGCCACCATTGTGAGATTTACAGTACTACTATTTAAATGACATAAATTACAAATGCATTTTGGGAAGTAGGCTCAAGTCTACGAAAGCTCATGCTCCCAATGTCTATCTTTAAATTAGTCTCAAAGGTGCTACAAGATCCCTTTGCATACTGTTTAATTTACAGTAATTATTTCTAAATTGGCATCCATGCACATCAATCACCATGGGAAAATATTATGCAAATTGGCCTCTTCTTGGGCTGGGTGGGATTGAAGCATAAGCAGCCACTGTGATTCCAAAGTGCTCAGATTGGTATGAACTCCAGTTAATTTTCTGGGACTACAAATCCCAGAATCCCCCATCTGCCATGCTGGCTGGGGAGTTCTGGGAAATGTCATATTATAAAGTAATATTCCCAGGCTCTGACTCAGATTTTCTAAAGACAGCTCTTCTTCTTGGCTTCTGACTGCAAGGATTATGCGGAGACTTCACAGTGGGAAACCTCTGAGAAATGAAAGAACAGTCCTTTTGGTTACAAAAGCATTTTTTTAAAAACTTTCTTTCTGCCTTTTTCTTCTTCTTTTGTAATATATTACAAATCTGCATGGTAGGAATGCAACAGCCAGACAGTATTCCTGCCAAATAAAAAGCCCTCCAGTAATAATAATATATATATTTTTTGAAAAGCCACATCCCTCCTGAACACATTCTGATTCTAGATGCCCTCCAAAGATGCCTCTCTTTGTCTTCCTTTCTCCAGGCCTCTTGGTAGGATGGCAACAACAATGTCCCACGCAGAGGCCTAAAGGACTGCCTCTTGCCAAAAAGAAAAGCACGTATAGAGACTATCGGCCCAGGAGGAGAAAGTTACACAGCAAACAACAACTCAGCATTTTCCCTGGCGTGATATCGTGCCAACCTCCCTATTATAATTGGCTTATTTCTGCTAGCTACAGCACTGACATTGTCTCGCACACAAAAGAAAGCAGCATTCTGGGTTTTGCTGAAGACCTCTCCGGGTCAACTCACTGTCCAAACTGGGGAGAAAGATTGCAGAAGCAACACTTGGGTCAGGGGCTTGGAGCTCACCCATCACCAAAATCACATCACAGGGCTTGGCAGCAACTAATTCCCCCCCAGGCGGCTACCGTGAAAAAGGTGGTGGGGCTAGTGAACCAAGGCTGTGGCTTTTGAGGGAGAGAAGAGCAGCAAGGCACAGCTGTTGAGAAGTGCCCCTCCATGTTCCAAATGTTATTGCTCTGAAGGAGAGAAAGCAGCTAGGCACAGCTCCATTGTGCCTTTGCCCCCGCAGTAGTGAGAAGTTCTTGCCCCATGTTTCTATTGCTCTGGCCCCTAAGGGAGAGACAAGCAGACAAGTACAGCTCCATTGTGCCTTGACTCAGTGGCTGGTGAGAAGCCTTCCCTTCATAGAATCATAG